GGCCCGGCGGTGGCGGCGGCGGCGGCGGCCGCGGGCGGGGCGGGCAGCCTGGAGCGGATCCGCGCGGACCACGAGCGGGCTCTGCGGGAGGCCAAGGAGACGCTGCAGAAGCTGCCCGAGGAGATCCGCAGAGACATCCGCCAGGACAAGGAGAAACTTCTCCAGGACGCCCGCGGCAGGAAGGAGGCKGGCGCCCCCGGGTTGCCCCAGCGCCTCTTCCGCCAGCCCGTGGGCGCCGTGGGGCAGGAGCCGGCAGACCCCGAAGTCCGGCAGAGGAGGGAGAAAATCAAAGAGGTGGGTAGTGGCGGCTGTCAATCCGGCTCCCGGGGATGCGCCTCGACTCCCCCGCGCGGGGCAACAGGTCGCTGCCGTGGCTGGCGGCGGCGTGGGGGGACCCCGGACCCCTCCTGCTGCCTCCTCCCTGCGGGAAGGGGTCTTTCTGGCCGGCTGTCGCTCGGCAGCTGCCGCCCCGGTCGGCGGTGTCGCCCGCGGTTGCATCCTCGCAGCCCGCGATGCGTTCCCTCKCGGGCTCCGTGCCGGCTGYGCCTCYCTCCCTCCCTCCCTTGCCGCGTTCCCCCAGCTGTTGCACSGAAACCTGGGGAGGAAGCAAAGCCCGGCGAGGGTTGGCAGGCTGTGGGTCGCCTCGGGGAGCCGAGAGCTGGGGACGGTGACACCGGGGAGGAAGAGCGGCGCGGGTCCGCGTGCGCTCCCCGTGGGACATCCCGGGCTCTGCCGGTGAGCGTCGGGTGCCCCGCGGGGTGCGGGACCGGCGGGGCACGGAGCCCTGCCCGTGCCGCACTKTTGGCGGAGGAGCTGCCCGGGGCTGTCCGGTGCCGGGCGAGTGCGGGGAGCAGCGCTCCAGAGGTGTCGCGGTCTCTCTCGGGTTCGTGCGGTTCACTATTCCGCCGACTGTCTAAAGAGTTGAGGGCATTTAGCGGAATACACTCAGTGTAGGTTACAGCGGTGAAGCGGTCAGAGATGTGTGTGCTTTGACAGATTGCTTCAACCTTTTTGTTTCGGTCCTGCTTCTCGGGTTCAGGTACCGGTTTAAATCCTTCCTTAGAGAAATTCTCCAACCTGTGTCTGGGTAGTACTGTCGGAGGCAGAGCTTGACAGGGTCCTCTGTCAGAAGAAGAATTTCCTTGATAATACGGTTCAACTTCCCATCAGTGCTGGCTGGTTTATTTATCGAACTGACAATTTCAGCTGCCTGCAGAGATTAGGGTTTATGAATTAATTAGTAGTATATATTTCCTGTTCTGTGGTGATGGAAATGAGATAGGAATGAGACTTACTACGGAATATTTCGGTGCTTGTGAAACCTCATTAGCTGTATTTAAAATTTTTTCTTTTTATGGTGCCTTTGTACAGAGTGGTCTGAAAAGTGAGCTGTGGTATCACACAGAGCGTCAGATAATAAGCTCTCACAAACATCAAGTTGTGTTCTGTGCTCTGGAGTCCTTGTGTCTCTTGAATTATTTCAGCAAATGGTGTAGCACAGTTCTAAGTCATAAGCAGTGAGTACTAAGGCAAAGGTATTTTGAAGAGAGAAACTCCCAGAAGTGCACGATACTGACCACATCTTGAAGTGTGCATAGTTTATGTTGTCCTCTTGTTTGGTCACACAGCCTCCCTGAGGCATATGGAAAGTTAGAAATACCAGCAAACTCTTTTTCCAGTTATGTGGAACTGCCATACTGTAGAGGTATTTAGGAGTAATGAGGCTCCAGTCCTGATGTATCTGGTTCTGTGGTATAGTAGACTGCAACAAGGAAATAAAGAGGAGGAAGAAGATAACAGAAGTACACTGCTGTCTTGTTGGTTCCACGGTGTGTCAGCTAGTTCAAGTTATCTTTTATTATGTGTTGATAAGCATGTGTATGTGTGCACGTGTTTGTGTGTTTGTGTATCCCTGTATGTGTACATATGGTCAGGATCTCGTCAGTTTCTTCCTCCCTTTCCCTTCCATCTTCTCTCTCCTCCACTTCTACACAGAGCACCAGTTTCACAGCAGCCCCCCAAACCAGAGTTTGKGCTGTTTAAGCATAGGAGATGACACAGAGGATGAACTTAGTTTCCAGATCCTTATTTTCCTTCACATACCAGTTTAAGTCCTCGATACTGTGTGTTGTTTCTGGGAGTTTCTTTTCCTCCTAATTCAGTATGTGACCTTAACATCTTTGTTACTTAATTGCTTTAGCATTTTTTGCAGTATTGTGCAGTACTTTGCCTGGTTTGCTTTTTGTCTCTTTTAAAGAATACGTTTTTTCCATTTCCATTGACAATAAAACACTRTTTCTGTTCTGTGCTAACTTTCTCCACATCATTTCATGTATTGGCCTTTTTGTTGCTTTTGTCTGTCTTTTTGCACGCTTTAGTCCACTTTTTAATGTTGTTACCTTAGTATCAAGCTGGATTTCTAATCTGCAGTCTTTTTAGTTTAGTTTTAAAACTTCAARTAGTTTAAAATAGTATCTCTGTAAGTATGAACTTTTGTCCTCTGCTGTACATACACAGAAACCAGAATTATCCCTGAAAGGTCCTCTCTTTGTGCCTGTTGGTTGCGTGCTGGGGATGCAAACATAAAGAATCTTTCTGCTTTCATATTCTTTTGAGCCTGGAATTTGTGTCTGCATTGTATGATTTGTACCATATATCTAGAACTCAAAATTTGAAACTACTCTTGTGGGKTTTTTTGACAGAAGAAAGCAAGTTACAGTAAAGGAAAAGAATGCCAAAAAGTTGTTCATCCCTTTATTTCTGTGGTGGAAAAGCTCAGTCCCATCAACAAGCAGACATAAAGCTGAGAGGGGAGATACCTAAGAGATATTATCTTCATTTACTGTTTTAAATTTTATGTTGACACTCCTGTTTAGAAGTCCAGCCAGTACAATATCATTTGCAATCACAAAGCAATGAACTGTTGTGACTTTACARCATTTCTTAGCCAAGTTTTGTTATAGAAATTTTAACCACTTTTTCTACATGCCCTTTTACATTGAAAAAAAAGAACAGGGTAAAAGTTAAACAAGAGGGAAATATAAAGGTTCTTGAACCTTTTTTAGTATTTAAACCAACATAATACGACAAAAAAAGAAATGCTAGATGTTTATTGAGCAAGTAAAAGACTTGTGGAGACATGAAGAAGTGGAGATCCTGTTGCTATTGCTGCTTTTCAGTCTGTCAGAATGGTGTGGTTGCTCTCGAGGTCTGTGTGTGGGAGCTGTGTCACGGCTGTGGGGCCTGGCTGTGTGCAGGTGTGTCTGTGCAGGTACGGGACATGGACCAAAGACCAGAGATCCTCATGGCTGCCGGGATTGTCCTCTGTTTCTCTTCTGTTGATGTGTTGCAGGTGAACTCGGAAGAAGGAGCAGTACTGCCAGCAGTGGGGTTTTCCCYGGTACTTCCTGCTGTTCAGCTGTCAGCTGCTTGTGGCTGCTTATTTTTGTACTGGATGGCCCAATGTTGCCTGCTCTGAGCATGATCCTCATGCAGGATGCTTCAGGGAGGCTCGAGCAAAGAGGTGCACTTGGAGCACACCAGCACACTTGGATTTGGCCAGAACTTGAGTTCTTGGGCAGTTCCATTGGTGCTCCTGTGACTTGGTCCCTGGAATACCTCACACTGGTCTCTGTTTCTGTGTGCTGACAGGAGCCCCAGACTGTGAATGAGGAGGTTGTGGTTTGTATTCTTTCTTTTCCCCTCACTGCTTTGAGGAGTCCCTCTTTTGAGGAAGTGGCTCCTCCTGTTCCCTAACTGGAAGAAAAGGGGAGTCGGGGGCAGTGATGATTCCATTCCACTCAAGTGCAATTTCTTCCAGTCTCTCTCTTGTTGGTTGTGGCTGGACATCATTGTTTCTGATGYGAAGGGAAGGATTGCAGGTGCCCAGGTAGTTGATAGAAGCAAAAGAAGTGATTATAAGAGGATGGTAATGGTGGAGAGAGGCTATGAAGGCAGGAGATGCATTCTTTTAATTAGGAGAATCTGATTTTGAGTCTTCTCCAAGTCTCATTCCTCTCTCTTCCAAGAAAAAAAAAAGCGCTGGAATTATTGAGGTGTTAAGAAAATAGCAAAACCCGAGCTCTTTTTATTTCTGAGCAAAGGAATAGAAACGATGAATGAGCTAGCTCAGGTACTAGAAGCTATATAATCACATTAGTGCGGTGCTCTGCCCAGACTAATTAATCCTGCAGAACAGCAGGCTCTCAGTGTTGGTGGAGCACCATACTAATGCAGCTGTGCTGTTCCTAAACAAGGTAACTAGCTTGGAAACTGTTCACATTATTGATCAGAGCTGTTTGGACATGTTTTCAGGATAAAAGCCTCCTTGGTAAACTGGAATCAATGTCTGAGGARCGTGGTCATGCAGTGCACCAAACGCTCACACAGCCTTCTACTGTTGCAGTTATCTAGGTACAAGAGGGGAATTGAAACACCAGTCCTTTGAGCTCAACAGGGTAGTGGCTGCAAGACAGCAAAGCAGATTCTGCACTTTCCCCCTATCTTTCTGTAAAGAACTGAATTCAGGTGGCATTGGCAGTGTGAATTCTGAAGCTTCCTAATTCCGCCGTTTTCATTTTGTTTAATTGTTTTCTATGGTGRCTTTTGTGCAGTTTAGCTGGAAGTCTCAGTCATGTTTCAGGGATATTCAGCAATATCTTGAGGAAAGAAAGCCCATGAGCATGGGAGTAAAGTACTCATCAGAGACCTAATATGCACTTGACATAAAATCCTTAGACATAATCAGATCTCTTCATTAACAAGGAGTGATGGCAAAATTACTGATGGTCACTCACTGCTGTGGAAGAGCAGCTGGCCCCATGTATCTTGCTGCATGCTTCTACCACTTGCTTTCCTACTGCTTGATATCCTGGTGCTGCTGCTCAGGAAAGTCCAGTGCCAGGCTGGACAGAGTTTTATTTCCTTTTGAGGATGTTTACATGACAAGGTGAGCTCACTAACACTTCTTGCTGTTGAAAGAGAAGAAGTCTCATCATACCACTTTTGGCTGCTTTCAGCCACAATCTACTTAGTGTGGCTTCCACTGTGTCACTCCATAAGCTGCTTCAGCTCAGTAAACCAGAAGAAAACTGTCAARAGCAAAAATCCTGGATAGATTTCTGCTTAATTTTCTGTCAACCTGGTGAGTTAAAGGYCTTAATGAAAGGGTTGGCTTGGTCCTAGTTTTGACTTGTGGTGAGGGAACAGATGGATGAAAGGTATGAAGCTTCTCTGAGTAGCCGTGTCTTAGCAGCTGGTGTCTGATCTTCTTTCCTAACTCCTCCATTAAAACC